GACCACTAAGCGGACCACCAAGCGGGACGGAGGTGAGCAATGCTACCAGGTAATAAGTCTGACTGTATTATTGTATTACCTCTCATGCTCTCGATGACTTTAATATAATACTTATATATCTCAACCCTACAATTGTGCATTACTGAACCCAGAGGTAGTATTACTGAACCAGTGAGTTCAAGCAGCGGGTGGGGCTGGCACCCCACTCCCCCCATACCATTTTTAATTTAATACTACACCTGTCCTACTGGTTCACTGAGTCAGAATCGACTCGATGGCGGTGGATTTGGTTTTTGAATGTGTTTATGTGTTTAACCTTCTATGTTTCAAGAGACACGCATGAGAAAGTGAATCGGCAAGCCACAGACTGGAGACACGTTTTACATGTGACACCTCTGAGAGAGGCCCCTCTGCCTCATCACGGCTCCCTACACAACAGAAAGAAACCCTACCTGGCCTCTGTCAGCCTCACAGCTGTTGTGTCTGAGCCCATCACTCAACTCAGTAACACGAGACAAGTACCACAATTGAAGGTGGCAAAGGGCCCAAGGAGGCCTTTCTCCAAAACCATTAACAAAGGACCAATAGCCTATGAAAAGTTGCACAACACCATTTATCATCACCAAAATGCAATCAAAACTACAAGAAATGATTTCACACCTACTGAATTCATTAACTCATTAAACCACAGGGTTATGCCACTGGGCTGGGCTATGATCCACATGGTCAAAACCACCAGCAGCCCGGAGGGAGAATGTGGTAATTACATACTCTAGTGTCAATTTGAGAGGATTAAGAGTGAAGGGGTGGAGTTTAGCCTGTCAATCAGGTTGCAGCTTGATGACCACATTTGGAGGTGCTAAGGAGATAAATAGCTCACTGATGGCTGGACACGTGTTCAATCCCTGGGAGACATTGCAGCTGACAAGACGCATGGAGCTACGCTAGTGCCCTGGAGCTGGAGGAGCCACGTGGAAACCCCTGCCAGCACTGAGATGCTTACATAACCCCTGCCAGCACTGAGATGCTGAGAAGTCCACAAGAATTCCCACCAACTGGCCTGTGATCTTCCTGCATTCAGCGTCACTGCATGTGGTCCACGAGTCTAAAGAGGACTTTATAGACTGGTATTGGACATCTGGGCTACTATTAGACTTAGGGACTTGATCTGGACTAAGCTGGGATGGTTTTCAACATTCAGCTGCTCTCATATATACAGCTGTTTCTTATAAACATTTGAGTGTCTATGAATTTGTTTCTCTAGGCAATGCAGACTAACACAGAGAAAGACTGGGTTTTCTACCTCCATAAACAGTTACCGTTTTACAGTCTCTGAAACCCACAGCGCGGTTGCTATGAGTCAACATTGACTTGGCAGTGAGTTTGGGATCTGGTGTTGTGAGATCACTCTAAAAGCATCCTGGTAGAGCTGTGGATTAGGCTTTGGGCTGCTAGCCACTGTGTCAGCAGTTCAAACCCACCAGCCACTCTGCAGGAGAAAGATGAGGCTGTCTGCTCCAGTGGAGATTTAATTGCTACGGTTGGGACTGGCTTCTGGTGGCACAGTGGGTTACAAGTTGGGC